AAAAAAAAAAAAAAATCCAGGTAAGTACTATATTTCTTGCTTTTCATGTATATTCTTTATTTATTATTATAAAAGTAACTAAAATGTAAAAATAGGAAACTTTATCTTGGTTAAGGTTAGATTAGATGAAATAAATGATAATAATAATATAATATTTTTCGTGAGGTACACTCGCAAGTAGCTTGTGCATAATGTAATTTGATAGAATAACGTGAGCTGCAAGTTTGTCAAGTGATTTACAACTTATAATGGCTCGATTAGTAGTTAGACAGGGCAATAAAATAACAAAATTTAAGTATAAATAGATTCATATTGTTATGAGTGCAAAGCTATTTAGATAAACAAATGTAGTTTAATATTACAATTTCATGTCATTCTAGAAAGGAAATAGTGCAATTTAGATATATTTAAATTTTTTTTTGTGGTTATGAGATCAATCAAATTGACGAACTTTGTATAAAGTTAGGATAGAAAAAATAACAGAAAAATATAAAGTTTTACTGAAAAAAGTTTGAAATTTGTTTAGGAGGTTTCAGAGATTATGCAAATAAAATTTGAGATTTTTGAGACGAAGAAAAGTATTTTTAATCTTAATGTGGATATCACCTAGCACTCAGACTAGTATATAGAAATACTATATATATAAATTTTTTTAAACATATTTCATTAAAAAATAGATTTTTTTAGTACAAAAGACTTGTAATGTTACAAAAGTCTACCAAATATTGTGAAGATACACAGAGTATAATGTAAGTTATATTATGGAAATTATAACAAGTAGAAACTGGTTACGAGGTTCGTTGGTTTAACAGACTTCATTGCGAGAGAGTTAAGCACTATCAAATATCAACTTACTTCAAACAAATATCAATGTACATAGACCAACTAATATTTGGAAATCCTTTGATTAGTAACTCATTCCAAAAGAAGGATAAAGGCGCAAAAACTGGAAAATTTGTATACTTTACAAACACTAACCCTTTCTCAAACAGGTAGAAAAGGCAAACCAAGAAACTGTATACTATTAATTACCACTAACTCATTCTAAAATAGATTAAAAGTACAGAAACTGGCAGATGTAGTTTATATATTAATCACCAATTCATTCTAAAATGGTAAACCAAGACACAGAAATTGGCAAATTTTGCGTAACTGTAAACTATCAACTCATTCCAAAATGGGGATTAAGGCACAGAAACATGAAAACATAGTATACATATTACTCATTGGCTTATTTCAAAATGTGCATCAAAACACAGAAACCAGGCAGCAGTATACTGTCAACTACTAGCTTATTCCAGAACAGGATTCAAGCCACAGCAACTAAAACTTAGTGTACATATAAACCCTTACAAACCCAGGGTTAGACTGTGTAAACTTAGTATACATATAAGCCCTAACATACCCAGGATTAGACTGGGAAAACGAGTGTAGGTATCAGCCCTAACAAACCCAGGGTTAGACTGTGTAAACTTAGTGTACATATAAACCCTTACAGACCCAGGATTAGACTGTGTTAACTTAGTGTACGTATAAACCCTTACAAACCCAGGGTTAGACTGGGCCATCTGTTTGATTATGAGGATAAATATTTACTATCTTTCAAGATTCACTACTTGTATGTCAAACTCAATATGGTTCTTTCAAGATTTGTTTTGAATAGAAATGAAAGGTGAGGCAGTGTTTCACTGCCCCAGTGAGTAGGCCCCATGCAGATTCATGCTCGGAACTAATCTAGATCCTGTTTTTCTCACCACAACTTTGCACGAGGCATAATCTTTGAACGTTGAAGATGATTCAGTAAAAATAAGTAAGAGAGAGCATTTTCTAAGTTTTTATTTTGTAACTAAAGACAACAGATATGGAAGATGCCCATAGCCACTTGCTGTCTTTGTGTGAAGATACGTCAGCTGCTTTCTTTGCAGTCTATGATGGCCATGGAGGAGCCAAGGTTGCTCAATATGCAGGCAGTCACGTGCATAAGAAAATTGTCAATCATCCTTCTTACAGTAAGTCATCATTATGTTTGAAGTGAGGAATGAAAAAGAATTGGAAATATACCAGTTTTTGTGGACCAGAAGTATGTGAATGATAAAATTAATTGTAACTGTATAAATTTACCTCATAAAATATATTGTTTAACAAACATCATTATTATTTGTTTTGTTTTGGAAACTATAAGTTAAAACTTTCTAGGTTTCTAAGGCTTACTGAAAACTATTTGTAGATTGTACTATAGAAATAACACTACATATACATATTTATAAACAAGCATGGCACAGCAAATGCACACACTCGTGTGTACGTATGCACGTGTGTGTACTGAGCTGATTAATATATATAGAACTTGATTGGGTAGTATTATGTATCATTGTTCTAGCTGGGCTGCTGATCCTAAAAACAGCTGTTCTTTGTTACTCAGTCTGAGCTGTTGTGTTTTTTGTTCCACTGAAAGATGAAGATCTGAATGCTGTATCTAGCTGAACTTTGAATAAGCAATACAAGAGTTGAATGTGATCTAAGAAACAAAAAGTACCAAATTAAAACATTACCAGGGTTGAGTGTGACCTAAGAAACAAAAAGTACCAAAT